TCTAAATATAAATGTGACAAGCATAAGCCAGAGTCCTAAACTCGGATGTAGTTTTGAAGTAAGTGTGCACGCCAGCTACCATTATTGCACACAGTACATCGCACCAGTCCAACTGCATTAGCAAGCAGGACTAGCTAGGGCATGTTTGGTTTGGGGTGACTAAGGCCTTGTTTAATTGGCGAATTTTTTTGAGAAATGGTATTGTAATATTTTCGTTGTTATTTGGCAATTAGTGTCCAATCATAATATAATTAGGCTTAAAAGATTCGTCTCGTGAATTTCGTCGAAACTGTGTAATTAGTTTTATTTTTTATTTATATTTAATGCTTCATGCATGCGTCCAAAGATTCGATGTGACGGAGAATCTTGAAAAATTTTACAAAATTTTGGGAACTAAACATGCACTAAAGTTTAGTCACCACCACTTAGTCATTTTTAGTCCCTAAAATACTAAACATGCACTACTACAAAAAGAATTTGTAGTAACGCTATCTTTTTTTTTTTAGGGGCGGCTCTATATTGAGCCGTTCCTACAAATGGTGACCAAACGACGAATCCATTTGTAGGGGTTGCTGGTGTTATCAGATGCCCCTACAAATGGCCCAATTTATAGGAGCGGCTCTATATCCAGCTCACCCCTACAAATAGACGCTGAATAGTAAAAATTGAGCACTAAAATTTGAATTTTTCAAACGACTTAAGGATGGAGAAACAACCAAAACTAAAGTTGTATATCCCAAAAAGTTATACAACTTTGTAGTTGATAACTTTTTGATTTGAAATGATCTTGTCAAGGAAAACTACGTTTGAATTTCTAAAAATTTAAAATTTAAATTTTTTAAACAACCTCGGATGGACAAACAACAAAAATGAAAGTTGTAGATCTCGAAAAGTTATGAAACTTTGTAGTTGCAACTTTTTGATTTGAAATCATCTTGTTAAGGAAAACTACGTTTGAATATTTCAAATTTGAAATTCAAATTTTGTAAACGACCTCGGATGGAGAAAGTACCAAAATGAAAGTTGTAGGTCTCAAAACATTATGAAACTTTGTACTCCCTCCGTATAGGAAAAGGAAGGCGTTCTGGGACTTCTGCACGTTCTGCGTAAAGGATGTCGCCGAGCGCTTGCATGCGTGATTTGGGACGGCTTTGCCCCTGCCGCTTCGCACGCTGCGTCGCCCGTTTATCACTCATTTAATCACCGCGTACTAATAATAGTGTAGCCTCGCTTCGCATGCCACGCCGCTCGCTCACCTCCCTTCGTCCTCAACCGCTCGTCTATCCTGGCCTAGCCGCTTCCTCGCTGACGCTGCGCTCGCTGCTTCCTCGCCTACACCGTGCTCGTCGCCGCGTCCTGGACGACGCCGCGCTCGTTGCTTTGTCGCTCCATGGATGCAGCGGTGGACTCTATGATGTTGGAGGAGTTAGCGCCGGTGGTCTCCATGGAGATAACGACGGAGGATGACCTCGAGCAGGAACCCACGATCATTGCTGGCGCCATGGAGATGACTTCGGAGTCCTTCGTGCCATACTCCTTGCTGCCGGAGTCCAAGCCTTCTCTCTGTGTTCCCGTTGACGATGAAGGAACCCACGAGCAGGAACCCACGATTTTGCGGCACGACCCACGATGACAACGACGATGAAGGCTACCGCCTAGCTCACCGCCTCGCTAGCAGGTGTGCCCGTTGCGGTCTTGTTCACCGCGACTACGATCTCGCAACAAGAATAATGGATGACATGGAAAAATTTGATTGCGAGATCTATATTCCTGATGTCAAGAAGCTTCAAATGAATGGCTACACCATACTTGTGCCTGAGAACGTTTTGAAGAAGTTGGAGGAGCATAGGAAGATGAAGCATGATGCAAAGAAAAAACAGTAAGGTTACATGTCCCATTCATTCAAGCTAATATGCATTTATTTCTACTAATTTACAAAGATAATGGTTTCATGCAGGAAGACTAGCAATGGCTTCAGCTAGCGAGGAACGCTTCACAAGAGATTTGCAATGGTAGTCAATCTTCTTTCTCTAGTTTTTCTTTTTGCATGTGAGAAATCTTGAACTTGTTGCATCCTTTAACCATCATGGCTTCCTTCAAAACACTCTGAAGTGTTAGAAAAATTATGTTTGCTTTGTGTGGACAATACTCTATGAATGCCTACAAAACATGTGTTGAAGAAATCAATCAATGGATAAATTAGTTGTTCAAAAAACAATGAAACAAGTGAACAATTGATCCATTTACCTGTTGCACTGCTGGAACTAGATCTTCTACTGTTTTTGCATTCTTCTTGTATTGAATATATTGAATAGCTCGAAAAAGCCCCAAGTCTAGAATGTTGAAATTAGAAGAATTGGGTGGTTGACAAATTAGACGAATGTCAAATCCTTGTTGTTTAGCAGCCTCACAAAAAACCAGATCATTCATAGGTAAATGGGATGGTGCATTATCTTGTTGTATGAAAATTGGTTTGTTCACATCTTCTCTTGGCCATTTGGCTCGGATGGCGGGCAATACTTTGTTTACCATGAAATCTCTAATCACATCTCTTGTGATTGAAGTTATGGGCTTGATAACTTGGGCTCCACGAAGACGATTCTGACTTCTTCTTACAACATTTCCATAAGTGATCAATGGAAAGCAACCAATTTTCCCATAAAAATACACTCCCCATCCCTAAACCTCGGCCGAGCACAAACACACAAAAACATGAGCCTAGAGATATATGTAATTCTTGTTCTTACAAGTGCGATGGGGCTCATCTTCCTCGGGTAGCAAGTAATATTTCTCAGATTTTTGAGAGAGATAAAATCATTTTTCATCAATGAACACAAAGTCAAAAAACCCCTTAAATTTGGGATCACCAAGCAAACCCTTCTCAATCATGTCAACACACCACTTTAACCGAGACTTCTTGTTAGCATCTGTGAGGTATGTGTTGATGCTACTAGAGTGGCGTCTAAGAAAACCTTTTTTCAAATACCTTTGTATCTTCCATTCTTGTTCTTACAACCGGAATGCTATGAGCAAGTGGTATTTTACCTCGCTTCCACAAGCGCTGAACTGACCGAATGTGTAGTCCAAAATGATCAGCAACAATTCTCGTATCTTGCCTAGTTTGCCATTCTTGCTTCTAGCCAACAAAGCTTGATAAACTTGTTTTGTGACTTCTTCTGTCATGTCTTTTCTTCGCTGGTTGACTTGAACGGAAGCCTCAACAGCATGTTCTAGGTGTAAAAAAAAAAACACACTAAATCCAACTATTTTGATTACGAGCAAAGTTTACTTTAAAAAAGCAAAGGAGGTTTATCTTACCAGTGAGGTTTTGTACAAAATCAAAATCAAGTGCACCATATTCATCCAGTGGTAAGTTCAAATCAAATCCTATAAAAAAGGAAGCATTGAACTAATAAGAAATGAACTGCCCAGGTGACACATGAAACTAATAAGATTAGAACTGGCCATGATACTAGGAGACATTACCGTTACCAGTTTCCAACGGAAACTCGTTGAGGTCGAACCCACCATTGCCGTCTTCGTCTTCCAATACCGACGCGTTTAGATCAAAGGTACCAAATGAACTGGCCATGTGTAACTCTAAGCTAGCAAATGAACTCGCTCGTTCCTGTCAAGCGAGTTGCACGGGGCGTTTAAATAGCGAAACGCGAGCGCCGATATCAACAGTAGTGCACACCGCTGTAGTCCTGCCTGCGCCGTTATCAACGAGACGTGGGGCAGCCCGGTGCGTGCGACCAGCCAGGAAATAATGGCGGGGTGCCATGCATGCTGTCCGGCCGCTGCTACCCGGAAGCTTCGACGAAGCTCCCTCTCACCAGCTAGCTGCCCGGAACGGACGACGACACGCTCCGCTCCGGCCCTCTCTCGCTCTCATCTCATCACTCATGTCCGCTACTTTGTCCTGTCAGGTTGGCCCATTCATTCGTCTTGTGGGAGGACCAGCCCCTTTCAACTTGCCTGTTGCGGTTGCACTGACCACCAGATCCAAACTCGAAAGCACTGCTCTTCTCGTGCTTCTGTTCATTCTGATTTTGGTTTTTGATACGGATGTTGGTTCACGCTTTATGACATTCCAATCCCGCGTTCATGGAACTACTATCGAAATTATTCGGACCATTTTTCCTAGTGTCATTCCATTGTTCATCGCTGATACCATCGTTTACTCTGTTATACTCGATGGACGAGTCTCACGGCAAATCCATCCATGGCGTTTCACTGCAAATTTCTGTCGACAAAATAGATGTCCCATGCAGTAGTTTTCAGATGCAGCAACACCTACAGGTCGGCAGAACGAGATCTTTCCAGAGGTGGCAGTGAGTTCTTTCACCGCGAGATAGATGCAGTGCGGGTCGGCCGGCGATCACATCAGTGTGGTGTGGCCTGACCCGACCTGATCTGACCCCAATAATTCTCGCGGTCTCACTCACCAGTGGATTTCCTCGCCATCACGACGCGGGGCCCGCCGCACCAGACCCAACCCATGCCATGATTCGATCCCTTCCCCCGGCACCCCACGTCGTCGTGGCGAGGTAGTTGGCCGCGCGCCCCCGCGCCTGTCAGGACACGAGTGGCGGCTATTAAAGCGCGAGGAGGGGGATCCTTGCAACCAGAGGAGGCACTGCCATCACTGCTGCTCACAGTCACCCACCCATATATCATCGGGCCTATTCGCTTGTCAGTGAGTAAAACACTGTGGCTGGCTGATCATCGTTACCAGGAGCCAGAAGACGAGATGGCGGACGAGCGCTTGCCTCAAATGGCCGGCGCCCGCATGGGTCTCGCTAGAGCGGCTGGATCCTCGGCACGGAAACGCGCCCGAAGTTAATCAGGTGCGCTGTGGGCCCCCGGCTCGTCGCGTCCCCGCGCGTGTATTACACACAGGCGCCCGCCTGGTGTCGTCAATCGATCGTTGCTGCGGCAGCGGCGGCTTGTGCCTTGTGGTAGAGAGGACTACTGAGGACCGGAGGCGTGCTTCGTGAATGGTCATCATGGCCGGGATGCTCCCCGGCGTGGAGTGCTCGCGGCGGCGGCGGCGGCTCCGGCAGGCCGGGGCGGGGGCGGGGGCGGGGGCGGGGGCGGGGGCGGAGGCGGCCGGAGGCACGAGGCGGTCCTCCTTCTGCCTGTACGCGGCCGGCCACGGAGGTGCTGGCCTTGGCGCCGGCGGCAATTCTGGCAAGGTAGGTGATTGGCCTGTGTTGTCACGATGATAAGCATGAGACCGAGGGGTGATCGGTTTCTTAATTGGGAGCTTTTGTTTGCAGCAGCGGGGCGGCGTGATGGAGATGATCCACGGGTGGACGCTGGACAGCAATGCCCGGGAGGCCAAGGAGCGGCTGGACCAGAAGCTGAGGAGCAAGAGGGAGGCCGCCATCAAGAGGTAGACCTGCCACTCGACACGACACGTCGGTCGATGCATTCATATCCATCCATCCAGAGGTCGTCGTTTGTTCCGTGCCAGCCTGAACAACAGCAGGTTCCTAAAGATCTCATCTTTGCAGGCATCACAGCACGGGGAGCATAAAGCTGAGCAGACCGCCGCACCGAAGCACCGGCGGCGGCGCGGGCGCGGACGAACGCGGCGAGAGGTCGGCGCTGGCTCCGGCGATGTCCGGCGTGCAGAGGGAGGTGTATTCGAAGAAGGGCGTGATGCGGCGCCTGATGCGGTGGAGCCGGCCGCGGTGGGCGGCGGCGGAGCAGGTGGAGTGCGCGGTGTGCCTGGACGAGTTCCGCGCGGGCGACGTCCTGGCGCACCTGCCCTGCGGCCACCGCTTCCACTGGGCCTGCGCGCTGCCCTGGCTCGAGGGCACCTCCCGCTGCCCCTTCTGCCGCGCCGCCGTCGACGCCGCCGCCGCTAGTAATAATCCCCACGGCACCTCCGCATAGACAGAGGCTCGGGCGGGGGCTCTTGCCCGCGGGGCCGCCGGGGCGACCCAGAAGCGAGCGCCTAGTCGTCGCTGTCGACCCACGCCAGCCATGCGGCCATGCCATTGCCAAACGCGCACGAAGAACCCGTGGGCGCCTCCGACGTTTTTGCACGCTTTGGCCGCACGCAAGGCAGAGTTCGGCATTGGTTGTGCCGTCTGCACTTTGCCGTGTCCTCTCCTCGATCGCGAGGAACTGAAGAGCGTTTTTGTTGTGGCGGCTGGGGCGCCGCCGCCGCACACTTGTGTTTTTGGTGTTGGCGGTTCCAGTACGTAATGCATGTGAAAATGGTCGTCTGATCTAGGAAAAAAGAGCTGTGATTTGGACGAACTAGGAAAAAAGAAGTGTGATTTGGACGAACTGTAATTTAGATCAATCGCCTCTGTGTACAGAGTTACTTGGAACTTAATAATTGTATGTTTGCTCGGTTCAAGATAACGCAGTTCTGTTCCACGTCCCTTTAGGATCTTGTTCCCCGCTAATCACACAGGATTCCAAGTTCGAACTGATTTTTCTGTTAAAATTCCTGCAGTATTAATTCTCGCGGAATTTATGCTTCCCAAAGGATGCTTGCTGCACGATCATGATGCCTATATTTCGTTGGTGATGTACACATGCCATAGCCATACATGTCCTGGTGGTTGTGGGTCTGCACTACCATACTTGGGGTCTGCAGAGTGCAGACTGAGAGTGCCAGTCCTCCCAGACTGACTGCTGACCTAGGCATCCCTGGGCTCCAGGCGAACTCAGCGTTCCACTTCCAGTGACACTGCGACTGGTCCTTCCTACCACTACCACAGCCCGCACGACTCTGAAGTCTGAACGCTGGCATTGACAAGCCGGAGACACGCCAGATGGTTTTGGCTCTTCCATGTCCGTGCAATAATCCAATCTGGCGTGGCCCCCAGGGCGCGCGTACGTGTAATCACGTGCCCAAAGCCTATGCCTCGTGTCCAAAGCCTGCAGATGTAGTTGTCGCTGCCGTTAGCGAGTTTTTGTCAGAAAGGCGATTCCATTATTACAACAATAATGGAGGAGACTTGCTTAGTGCTTACTCTGAAAGTCTGAATCATGGCGGACCAGATCGGCTTCCATTCTCATCGTTTCTTCAAAACAAAGAATGAGAGCCAGTTGTTGTTACTGGGCCATGGGCCCCGGAACGAATATGCCGATGGGCCATCCATATCTGCCTACCTGCTGCCATAATGCCATATGGAGCCCGTTAGAAGGCCGTGATTGAGACGCTTCAACTTGGATTTAGTCCCAAACGAAAACTTTAACATGATGCGAGCCGTGGGCGTCGATATAAAATCAGAGGTTAGGCTACCTTGAAAACCTACTTACCTGGACGTGGTGTATGGGTGATCGAAAAGACCCATGGCCTAGATCAAAGGTCCACATTGCACATGGTGGATGTGTTGTCTACCATCTCCTCAAGCAGGAGAGTGGACGTCGTAATTTATGATAGATGAGGTACACATTCGCACAGCCCTAACTATACTAGTCTAAAATTTAATTTAAGGTAAAATAAAATACATTCAACAGAGAACAACTTGGCAGGTGGATGTGATTTAGTCTAATAAATTGTAAAATGCTCAAATAGTTATAATTACTTGGAAAATTAATGCATGTATGGGACAAACCTTCCAATTGTGATAAAATATGTACTTATATTCTAGGATTTGCGGCATGCATGGTGAATTGTTTAAGACATTTTTGGCACTATAAGGTGGCTATCATGAAGCAGGAGCTTCACAACATCCATCACCTAAGCCACTAGTGATGCAACCGAATCACTGAGAAGTTGATGTCGTCGCTCCTCGTGAATATAGCTAGCTAGTGTCTATTGTTCTTGAATTTTAACCCTCTATTCTAATCATGCATTCATGCCAAGGTGGTTTTTTCACATGAGGATGATTAATGGGTTGCAACATGAATATGATTTTACTAGTGTTAGTTCATAAACTTTTTAGGACTGGAACCATGTTGTTTCTCTATTTTTGCAGCAACTACTATGTTCTTGTCCAATATTGTGTTCGTATAAGTTTGTGTTTTCACTAAATCAAGGTGACCAATAATTTGTTGTCGGATACTGGAGTAATAGCATTAGGGACCGGGTATTGATAGGATTATGGGAATGGTTTATCGTGTGAATATTGCTACTCTTTTGTTAATAAGTAGGCTAGATGAAAATATTATATCTTCTTTGTCCAGAAATAGAAGGTTCAAAATTTCTAGTGCAAGTGTGATCATCTTTTGTAGATTGCAACCAATCTATTGTTGTTCAAGTTTGTTTTGGGATGTTCATACTGGTTGGATTATCCATTAATTATAGCGTCTAACTAGTGAGTACGTACCATATTAGCTATGTTTGTACCTTATATGCACTAATTTGCCATGACAACACGATTAAAGAATTAACCTATTTTGATGAGACTATCTATATATGTTTAGTCTCAATATGATTTATGTATTTAGACTCATGTGAAGCAAATGTCAAGCAAATAAAATCGACTGCAAGAATGGTCTACAATAAGAAGGTGCATGCACCCAAACATAGTCTCATCAAAATAGGCTAAATAATGCACTCTAATCTCTTTTTTTTTTTGTAACTGATTGACAACCCCGATTAAAACTTACACAAACTTGCACCTGTAGCCTGTTGCCGTGCGTTGTCAACCTCCGACGACGGTCGACGGACAGCACGTAGTTCTCCATGAGACCGTGTCGAGCTGTGGTCTCGATTAAAAATCTATACACGAGCTATTCTCCATATGTACCAGTACATTGCACCAGCAGTTCAGCAGCATCAGCAAAGCATGTGAAGTATGAACTACCCCTTACCTGCTAGCTGCTTAGCTATAGATTAGTTTTGTCACTTCGACACCCTTGCATCGATCCGTTGGCATGCATATGTACACATGTACTATACTAGTACTATACAGCAGGCTCGGCATATTTTCAACCTCCCAAATTCATTCCTGAGCTAACGTAACCAGCTGCCGTCATGTATCGCAAAGTCGTCGCATGGGTTCTCGTGGTCGTCTTCCTCAAGGCCGGTTTCATGTGCTTCCGGATCCCCAATCTGCTCCACGCGCACTCTCGGTACACCCTGACAAGCTCACTTGCATAATTAGTTTTGAATTTGGATTTCTAGTTTCTACTACTGCAGCTTAATCATGCAAGCAGCAGCAAATCGATCTGTGGTACATATCTTTTTTTTGAACTTACTGTGGTACATATCTGAGATTCAGCTCTAGTTGGGATGAAGGCATGGGTCGCCGCCGCCGGCGTTACCCTGGCCGCCGGCAGCGGGGCCGGGGCCTAAGCCAACAGCGCGCAGCAGGAACAGGAGGTGGTCCTGGGGACGAGGATGACGGGGCCGCCGGAGCTGTCGAACATGATGAGGTCCGAGGCGATGCCTGTGTGGATGCCATCGTTGAAGAGAGCCTGACATCGAGCTAGGTGTCTGCTTTCCCTCTTGTATAGTTGTATGTGTGTTCTCCAATTCCTTCTTAGTAGAACTTGAACGTAAAACGGTGTCTGGTTTGAATGTTTGTGTATTTGTCGTTTGTGTACCCGTCACTGTGAATGAATCTGTGATACTTGTGCTTATTTGAAATTCACTTTGATTGTTCACTAAAACATCTATCCCTGTATTTTCACCGAAATAATACTACTGATTTTAAAACCTTGTCAGTTCACAATGTAAAACAGCTATAATCACCATCATTATTACTTCAAAATAAACCATAACCTCTCTGCAAAAAAAAAAAAAAAAAAACAGAGAAAAAAATCTGCTTACGCTATTCCATAGAGCAAAGAAAGTACCTCCCTAGAATTCCAGAATAGGTACACCATCTATTGTAATTCCAGTTCTTTCCTTTTTTTTTCTTTTTTCCTCTTGCAAATATGCACTGTTGTTCGATCCTCGGTCTTGGTGACCTCTATCGTTTGAAAGACCTCTGCAATTTGATTTTTTTTCTTGAGTTCTTGATGTTTGGTGGTGGCAATGGCGGTGGTAGTGCCGTAGTGGGGTGTTTCATTATCAATAATGCTGTTAACATTCATAAACGGTTATTGAGGTTGGTTGTTTCTTCCTTACTGAGGCTTCGACTGCACATCATTGTTTAGCTGCTTCGTTGATTGCCTCAAAACGATTTTCTCTTATGTTATTTTTAGTAATTGTTGTATGACCAACAACACTTTTCTATGACTTTGAAGAGTTCTGAGATTGTTTCATTATTGAGGTTCTCTTGAGAAGTGCAAAGCACACTGTCCAATGCCAAGACCTTTAACTACTATTGAAATAATTGTTTCATCACCAACATCTAGAGCTTGGGCTTTGATCTTAACAAATCTCTAGACATAATCTTCTAATGGATCTTTATCTTGTTACTTACAGTTAAACATACCTATGATTCTAAGCGACAATTTTTTGAAACCTTGTAAGTTTTTATACATTGATCCTTCGGTTATAAAAAATGAATTTTCACATTCATCCCATCCAGCCAAAGTGACAACTGCTTCAAAGCTCATGACAAGTTGCCAAGGGTCAAATGCTCCATGGAACTTGGACACATTCCGTGGGTTATACCCAATTGTCCACTGATGGTCCTATAATTTGATGGATCCGTGGGTTATACCCAATTGTCCACGGTGGGACCTAATTTGTTTGTCCATGCAAGGTACTATTTTTTTTTCTAGTTCATAGTGAAGGGACCATGATGCCTAAGAGGGGGATGAATTAGGCCACTTAAAAACAGGGAGACAAATTAGGCAACTGTTGGTATTTATTAACGCACACAGAAAAAGATTCGCAAGCGCACGGATACCGCTATAGCTTTCACTCGGAAGTATTCCAAGTATCGTATCCACAGGGAAATGTGTGAGATTAACTATAATCTAACTTAATCAGGAGTAGCAACAAGACTTAAGATAACAGGAGTATAGAGGAGATC